TCATTGTACTTCGTTCAGTTACGTATTGCTATTACAATATTTTATTTAAAAAACGGTCAAGTTTCGAAAAACGCTTAAACAGAAAAATCTGGTCATTGATTGTCACGATCCTGCTTAAAGCGCTTGACGTAAAAGGCGGATTTTTGGAAAACAGGTTAACTTTAAAGTGTAGAGGTTCGATAGAAGGGATTTTTCGAAACTCGAATTCTAAGAGGTGAAACTATCCCTCAAATATTAAAATATTTTTTATTTAAAAACCGGTGATTTTTCAGGAAAAAAACTCACCAACACGTATATTTTATTTGTTGTTTTTACATATTTTAATTTTTTATAAATTTATACAGGGTGTTTCAAAATATGACCATTGCGTAATCACGATTCTGCTTAAACTGCTCGACGTTTAAAGCTGATTTTGGCAAACAAATTGACTTTAGGATGTAGAGATTCGATAAGGAGAGGTTCCTCGAATCTCAAATCCCAAGAGGGTGAAACCGCCCTCAAATATTACAATATTTGTTATTTAAAAGCAAGCTAGTCTTTCAGGAAAGCTTTAGCAGACAAGCAATTTATTTGGTTTTTACATATTTTTGAATTTTTAACAAATCATACAGGGTGTTCCAAAGTTGGGTAATTTCTTAACCACGATTCTGCTTAAACTGCTTGTGGCAAAAGCTTTTTTGGGAAACGGATTTTCGAAAGTCAAATTCCAACGAGATGAAACTACCCCTGATAGAATATAAAATTCTGTATACGACAAGTATAGCTTTGACTCTTATGGAATTTTTTCTTAATATTTTTCAACAATTTTTTTTTTTTTTCTTGTTTTTTTTTCCAGCTTTAAGACAATATAAGCGGAACTAGCGCTGTCTCTCCCGGGCTCTCCCTCAGCACTATTAACATTTCAGCTCAAACTAAGTCATATTCTGATAGAATACTAAAATTTCTGAACCACGACAAGTAGTTTTTAACTTCTTCAAAATTTTATTAATATTTTTTCAACTTGGTACAAACACAGGTCCTGTTTTTTCAACTTAGGGCAAAATAAAAGAAACAGCGTTGCTCTTCTGAGCTCTCCTCAACTCTGGCCAACATTTCAGCTCAAACTAAGTCATATTCCGATGAATGCTGCCCCTCAAATATTACCCAAGTTATATAACAATATCGCCACTGTGTTTTTCCTCATCTTGACTGTGTGAAAATGTTATCAGTTTGTATGTTAATGGAAATTCTTGCTTTGTATCATCACCATTACAAATGACACATTCGAGCGCGAACGAAGTCGCTGGTACACGCTAGTATAATAATATATTATATTTCAATCTGCCACCCAAAATTCCAAACACACGTGCTTGGATTAAGGCTTGATTAAGGTTTGCAGAGCTTAGCATTTGCCATAAAATACCGAGCACACGTTTACAAAACCATATAAATTATATATCACTGTAATCACAAAACTTCAATATATTTCCGTATTGTAACGGAATTTTAAATCATGTCTTTATTTACGAGAAAATTTAGTCCAAACACCAATATAAGGAATATTTTGTTGATGTTTCCATCAAAATCTTAAAAAAATAAGAAGTTGTTTAAAAATGTGCTACAGTACGGATATCACGTATAATCTTATACTTTAATTTCCGCTTCCCTAACTGTTTATTGTAAAAATACTTGACCAGTTTTACATAAAAAACGTTAAATGCCGAACGCTTATTTTGGTATTTTTTTGGACTACTGAAATGGACTCTTAATCAAGTCTGGGAGGAGTATTGGCAATATTTAACTAAAAACTTGGATTAGACTGGATTTTCTATTATGATTGGTATAAATTATTTTTTGTGCCAATTTTATTTTATACTACATTTTCTTATTGACAAATCTCTTTCTGGGAGGGGTAAATACCCCCATTACCCCTCCCGTATATGCGCCCCTGCTCATAATAGTCTGGAATGAATTATTCCCAGATGTTCGCGAGAGATATTCTGTATTAATAATTTTATTTCAAATATTTATTTCTTTTATTACACTAAATTTAACTGAATAGATTATTTTCAAATTAATTTCCAGAAATTCCCCACTTTGTATAACATAAGAAAGACACGTGGATCATATCAGAAATGGAAAATTTTATCTAAACAATGTGCATCTCTATTACTGAATGTAGGTACCGTATGCTCGAAAAAACGGCGTCAGCTGGCTATGAAATGAAGATTTTTTTTTTTTTTTTATTATGTAAATTCATATGAGAAGCTTAAGACAAATCTTTTTAAAACTGACTTATTGCAGCTCTGGTTATAATATAAATCATATTAATACTAGCCTCCGGTATTCATAGAATATATATTTTTAAATACAATATTTTTAAAAAATACAAAATAATTTGAATATGAATTTTTAAAATCAAGAAAAATGTAACCTTTAAATTTAGAAAAAACTTGGAGCATCATACAGCGTATTTTTAGGCTCTTGCCCGAATATATTTTGCTAAGAACTACATAAGTTAAATTTAAACCCGCATATAATATTTCGTAAATACAAAAACCTAGAGCAAATAAACTGTGGAGGAAGTTAAAAGTCATATATTCTAGAAAAGAAATAATATGGAATGGGAAATATAACTGTTTCTGAATTTCAGGAAAACCAAAAGAAATAAGAAGTAACTTTGAAAGTTGTATAATTACCTACTAATTGTTATAAAAAAATAAAAATAGATTATTTTTTAAAATTTAACAATTTTTTTTTTTTTTTTTTGGAAAATTTTGAAATTTCTCACTTCACATTCAAAACTCACAAAAAACCTCTCTTTTAGTTTTAAAGGCTTTAAAAATGTACTCCAACATTACACAAATGACATATATTTTTATATATTTCTTTTTATAATATAGAACAATATTTGCCTAGTTTTGGAAGAAGATCCAAAAATCCAAAAAAAGGTAAGTTTCATAATGAGTGAAAATCAACAAAAACAAATTTAATTTTAAACAGAGAATATTAAAAGAGATTTTAATTATTTTCACAAGTAATAGTCTGTATTGCCTCCTCGAGCCTCCATGCAAGCTGTGAGACAACGTGGCATGCTCTCAATTAAGTTGTTCAGAAGATGTTGAGGAATGGCTTCCCATGTTTCGCGCGCAGCAATTTCAATTTATTTAAGATACGGGTGGGATCATTCCTTTTGGTAATATGGCGTTTAGCATGTCCCAAGCATGCTCGATCACATTCATATCTGGAGACATCGGTGGCCACCACAGTTTTTTATACCCTCTTCCTCACAAAATTCGCGAACCGCTAAAGTGCGATGGGGAGGAGATGGGGACGAAATACGGCGGCAGGCGTTTGTTTTTGGTATGATGG